GTCGGGAGACAAGTAAGACAATGTTTGTGTATAAGAATATGAGAACTGGCGCTCATGTCAGTCGGCGGATACAACGGAGATTTTAGACTTAGAGTCCAACATTTTTTTGCGGGAAGAAGAAGATAGTCATTCTACATAGAGGCAAGGTATATATACATTCTAAGTAGCGTTAAGCGCTGTCAAGCGCTAAAGCGAGCCGGAAAGCGAAGCGAGTAGGTGATGATATGTAATAAGGGTTCGTGACGAAACATACAGAATATTATGCGCAAGCACCGGAGATATGTCAGAATACATGAGAATAAGATAGGAATATGCACCGACGAACTGAATGGATATGGAATGGATGGACGGAGGACGAGTGACGGAACCGAGGATACATGCGCCGATGCACGACCTAAGTGCCTGTGCGTGCGAGCAGCCGACAAAGTGCCAAGTGCGCTGAAATGAGATACGGGTCGCGCTGTGTTTGGGAGGTGATTAGGACATTGGAGAATTAGACCTCTATGAGGCCACAGAGATGTTAGTCTCTACATCTCATAGGAACTTAGCTTCTGACTGTCCCCAGTCAGTGTACATAGGGGTGGATGGACTAAGCGAATTTTCGACGAGAAAAGTCACGTGATCGTGGGCGAGACGTGCCAAATCAGATGTGGAGCAGATCCACTGTGGTCGCATGAAGTGTGGTGAGCGGGTGGAATTGTGCTGACATAATGTGGTTCATTTCCGACATAAAAGCCGGCCATGCGTCGCGCTTCTCTTCTTCAATTCAATACCTCATCGCAGCTTCGCAATTATCTCTGCTTCCATCCACTATCATGTCCTCTGTTATCTTCAACCCTGCTATGTTGACTGCATCTCCCTCTCCCTCCCCCAAACCTGAGGAGCGCCCGCAAGTTGGTGGCGACGTGTCTACAAATGACGCCACTCTCGACGACATGGCTCTGAAGGAGCCTGAAGAATCCGACGCAGATCGGATCGACCGTGCTTGGGCGGCGGTTCTCAACACTATGCATGTCTGCGTAGACACATCTCCTCCCTCCAAGCCTGAACTCTTGGAGGAGCAGGAATGCTGGCTCCGCGATTGGAATACCGCGATGGTGAGTGGCGCTGTTCATGCTAAGTGCTTACTTTTTGCTAATGTTTTGCTTGTAGTCTGATATGACCTCTGTCTTCGACCGTGCACGTGCAGCAGAGATGCACTTGTTGCTGAACGATGTGGACGCGGTTACGTTAGCTGAGGGTAAGATTGCCGCACGGACGCTAACGAGGGCCGTGAAGATGTGGAAGGAGAAGGCGGAGGAGTCTGCCGTGACTGCGCACCCGGCACGTGTTGAGAAGGGGAAGGCAAAGGAGGTTGTCGCTACCGAGAAGACGGCCGAGAAGGCGACAGAGAAGTTGGGTGAAAAGGCGACGGAACCCGTGCTTACCGATATGGGATGTCCGGTGAGTATTTTCTTTCCTTCTTTGGTTTTTCAGTTTGGCTGACATGTTTTTCTTTTCTAGCATTTGGGTGGGCGTATGACCGCTACCTCTGTCAGCCGTCCTGCTGAGAGGTGCGAGCGTTGTGCCGTGTCCGGCACTAAGTGCGTCGTTGTGCAGCCAAGCGGAAGGTGCAAGGGCTGCGTTAAAGTGTGCAAGGGTTGTTCGTTTGGTGAGTTCGTACTTTTCACTTCCTTTTCGTGTTACTAATGCTTGATTTAGTTGCCGCTAAGAACAAGAGACGCGCGCCGGCTGTGCCGAAGCGCAAGGCGCTGAAGGTTCAACGATACAGCGAGGCACGAACAATGCTCCTGACTGTATCTATAAATGTTGTAAGGTCGCGCGTTGCCTAGTCTGCTATACTTGAGACGACAAGTGCGTTCGACCCTAAAGGGGAAGCGAGTGCAGCAAGGATCTAGTAGTAGGCGCCGAAGGCGCTACTGGTTGGCAAATGCGAAGCACAGGAAAGCGCAGGTGCGCGCAAGGCACGAGAATGTGCGAAGCGCCGGAACGTGCGCGCATGTATATGGAAACAAGAGAGAGTAAGAGTGAGTTGCTTAAGTAATGATTAGACACTAGACAAGAGGTGAGAGATGCAAGCTGAGAGATGTTATATGCGAGGTGCCAAGAAATAGATTTCAACTATGCTCTGCTGGGTAGTAAATGGGTATCATTGTGGTTCGTTTCTGGTGGGTGAGTAAGTGAGTAAGTCAGTAAGTGTATCTACTGCTGGCGCTTAAGTATGGTGCCTAAGCGCTGTCATGCGGAGCCGAAGCGCTACCGAGTAAGGTATGTAAGGATATATGTAAGTAAGGGTCCATGATAAAAATAAAGATGGAATGATATGCAAATGTGAGAAATGGAAATATACGCACTTGGGAACTTGGTGGACAGTGGATGGATGCTTCTGGATGGCTGGCACTATAGGGCACTCAAGCGTGGGAAAGCGCGCGCGCATATACATCGTGAAGCGCGGGAAAGGTACGCGCGCGAGTTGCGCATTGCGCGGGAAAGCTGCGCCTCATGTAGGAATAGCTGTGGATAGCATACAGAGTGATGCTACAAGTTCATGCCATGTACTCCCTAGTGAAAACTGCAATATTGCACAATGAGAGGCACGAGTCTCTACATCTCCCAGGGACTTAAATTCTGAGTGTCCCCACTCAGCGCGTGTGTGGTGAGGATCTCGAGTGATAGTATGTGAGTACGATGCTTGGGTTGTTGGGCAACGAATGCGCACGTGTAGGAATGTATCACATGGTATGCACAAAGGTGCGGGAAAGTGCACACGCATATGTGCTTGAGGTGTGGGAATGCAGCATAGCATGGCGAATTGCAAGGGTGACTCTGGTGTGAATAATGCACCATGGGTGTGAGGCGATGATGCAAGAGTGATATGGCTGTGGTGTGCGAAGCATGGGCGAGGCGTGCACGTATGGCGTGAAGCGTGGGAGAGTGCGCGCGCATAAGGCGCGAGAACATGTGTGAGTGTCGCATGCGCTGCATTCTGTGGGGATGCAAGGGGCTGTTGCACAATGATCTCTGAGTCCAATATGTGTGCGTGAGCATGATGCGAAGTGGCGCGGTCCAAAAGCGATCCAATCCACGTCCAAACCAAGTCCTGCTAGGTGCGCTAAATATTAGGTGCTAAAGGTTTGAACAGCATGAGTAAAACTATATGCAAAATATGAAGAGAAAACAGTAAACTTTGCGGATGTCCTATCTGACTTGTCTTCTTCGTGCGGCTGTCGACATCTACACCTTCCTATGAGCAAGGCGCGGGAAGCGCGCGCGCATGTGAGGCGTATAGGTGCGGGAAGATTGTGCGCATATGTGCGCGTTCTAAGGTAAAAAGAGCATGGTGCTGCATCATGCGTGCGAAGAGAACATAATATCCTATTGAGCTAGGCGGGCACAATCTAAGGTTGTTTTGTTGTTTTTCTTCTATATTCTTCTAGGCGATCCCTATATGCATATATATATGAGTGTATTATTAGTCCTTTGGACGGTGTTATAATGAGAGAAAATAAAAATGAAAGAGCACTGGATGAAACCCAGGGTGAAACAAACAGTATCCTATGAAACAGCAATGGTATGTGTTTTTCTTTGGTGCACAGCTGAAGCGCTCGAAGCACGTGGTGTATGTGGCATAGGCGAGGGTCAGAAGGCGCAAGGCTGGCGCGCTTGGGGTGCTTGGTTCCTCTTCATCAAGCCTTTTTGATTGCGACTCCGAGGCGGGCTAGTAACTGGCAGAATGAATTCCTGCACAACGCGCTGCAGGTTGAAGGCGCGCCAATGGAAGGCGCTGCAAGGGGTGTAGAGGTGCTCTACAAGCTGATAGGATGCGCGCGATGTGCACGCCTTGGGGCAATTTTGCATGAATTTGATTATATTGGCTGAACATGCGAGGAACGGCCATTTCTCTGCAAATGTGTTAGCGAGAGACATATAGTTTGAAATTAGGCGCAAATGTTGTGCGAATGGGCTGCAAGGGTGGTTTATCAAGGCGCAATAGGCGCATAGGTGAAAGAGAATAGTGCACGTCAGGGTGTGCAGGAACAAATTTGACATGGTAAGCAAGAATGTGAAGAATGCGAATAAATGTGGAAAGTGTGAAGTTAAAGGTGATGATGGGGAAATTAGGCGCATATGTATGTGTCAGGCGTGCGCCTAAGTCGCGCCTGGATGGCTGATTGGAATATATTTTGTGTTGAATGACAGAAATGTGATTTAAAAGGGGAGAAACAATAGAAGTGCGATAGTGTGAAGACTCTGCTAAAATTATGAGTGCGCGAGGCGCGGGAATTACCGCGCGATGCGCACAATCATGGCGCGTGAACAAGGGGTGGTGCGAAGATGAAATTAAAGTGTTTGGAATTCTCATATAGCTCCTTAAGAGCTTTAAACATGAAAGGGACAAAAAATGCGAAATGAGATGAGGGAAACTATACAATGCCTCTAGGTGCGCGCGTTGTGCGTTCTCAGGCGCAATATGGTGCACCTGAGTCACCATAGGGTCGCCTGAGACATGCTCTGCTTGGTGGTTGGGCAGTGTGATGCACGGATGCTTTACTGGCAAGGGATAGTCACTAGAAGCAAAAAGCGCGATGTGCGCGTGATCGTTAGTGACAGATGGAATTACCAGAGGCAAAGTCTGGTTGATGCGAGGTGCGACTTGAGCCTCTGATGCGGTAGAAGGCTCCTCTATAGGCGCGCTAAGGTGCAATAGATGTTTAGGGTCATCCCTGACCTCTGGCGATGTGAACGGCGATAGCGGTGACAGTGAAGGCGCGATTGGCAAGATTTCTTCCTTAAGCGATGCAATAGCGATAGGCGAGTGTGTTTCAAGCGATGGCATAATAACTTCCACAATGGGCGCGTTATTGTGCAATAGATATTTAGAGTCATCCCTGACCGTAGGCGATGCGATAGCGATAGGCGAGCGTGATTTGAGCGGTGCATTAATGTGCAATAGATGTTTAGAGTCATCCCTGACTACTGGCGATGCGATTGATGCTGACATGGGCAGCAAATGAGAATTGTCAGTGTGCAAAACAGGTGAAGAAAGAGATGATGATGGGGGCAAAGAGGCGCCTGCAGTGCACTTCTGGTTGCGCTTCACGGGTGCGCGCTTGAGTTCGTGATCTAAAGCGATGCAGTCTGGTATAGCTTTGTGTGCTGGTACAGTTGATGGCTCAGGTGAGCATGAATCGCACGAAGGCGTGGGAAAAGCGCGCGCAGGAGGCGCAAGAATAGGAACTGGTGGCCTTTTGTCAAGTACAACATCTGAGGATGCGCGATAGAAGAGTCCGGCTGTCACACTAGCGCTAGTGGACGTATCCTGTGTTGCGCGGCTCGCGTAGTATTGATCTTTGTGCTTAGTTACCATGGCTTGCACTGGTGTGGTCGCTGTGACTAAGTTCGCAATTGGCACTACCACAGGCGCGTTAACTGGCGCGCTTGGTGCGGAAAAGCGCGCGCAGGTAATAGGAACTGTGCAGCTGCAAAGACGTCCATGAACGGATATGGGTCGTGTGGATAGTGGTCGGGGAACTTGATCATAAGGCGCAAGCGAATTTGCGCCTGAGCGTCTCTAGGGATTCCTTCCATGAACAAGCGGTCGCGTTCGGCCTTTCCAATATGGTCTTCATCCATAAGTGGCTGCATAACCTTCCTGAATGTGTGCAAGTAATTGCTTAGTTCAGTGCAAGAGGGCATTGGTTTGTTAGTGTATTCTCGTGCAATGGCGCATAAGTCCATGAGTGCGTAGTGTCTCTTGCCATCCCATCCTGGATACATTACCTTCACCTCGTCTAAGAAGGCGGCGTAATCGCTTACTGCCACTTCAGGCATGCCTCCCCATAGTTCTCAATCATCGCGTTCAAGGTAGCGAATAATACCTTTGATGCGGTCGAGCCCTTGGAGTCCTGCTTCATCAGCGAGCTGCTCATATGCGTCAATGAACTCGGCGAGATTGTCTGTAGTGCCATCAAACTTGGGCGCGTTCATTGTGCCACGGATGGGCATTCTATAAGGCATTGAAGCGCAAGAAAGCGCGACTAAAATGGTTAGCTTGTGAAAATGCAAAGAGATTGACCTATATGTGCTAAATGGCACTAGACGCGAAGATGTGCAGAACTAGATCTTGCTGACTGTTCCCCTCGCGGTGGGCTCCAGTTGAAGGTGAGGAATCTTGACTATAGGTGAAACGCTAAAGCTAACGGGGGTTCTACAGTAAGACCAGGATACGAGAATACGACTTGACCCAAAGGACAGCTACTGAGAGAAGTTCCTCTTTAATGTAATGGAGGGAGTCTTCGCCAACTAGACGGGCGGTAACAGGTGCGCGAAGGCGTGAGAAGATAACGCGCGTGTATGCGGAAGCGTGCTTTTGAGCGATGGGGGAGAGTGTTCAAGTATAGCAGATGCGCGAGCGATGGTAGAATAGTGAAGTATAATCGGATTTCAAGTACTAAGGTGCACTATACAATTTGCAGTATACTCAGATAAGGGAGAAGGGAAGGAAGTAAGTTAAAAGGAACTTTCCCTCTATTTAAGAAGGGAGATTACACTATGCGGCGCGCTTCTGAGCGTGGTACTGAACCGAGTAACCATATCAACTCTAAATATATTCTAAAGCCTATGATAGACTTTCTGTATGTAAGCGCAGAGATCGGACCGAAGGTACGTCAATTCAGTGAAAGGGATAAGAATAACGCACCAGTAAATCAGTGAGGACATAGGACGGACGGACAGACAAGGGTACGAAGGCCTAAGGGGAGGTGCACGAGCGCGCGCGAAAGGCGTGAGTGCGTGTAAGGCGTGCGAACGAGGCGTGTACGTAGGGCGCGCGCGTGAGAGCGCGTATGACTGATCCTTCGGATAAGAGCTGGAACATGTAGGGAATTATGTGGGTAATAGGGCCGTATATTCCGCATTGAGAGGCACGAGTCTCTACAGCGCCTCCCTCCGCGCAAACAACTGCGCCGGAAACCGGTGAATCTGAGGTGGAAATTGTGGGTGAGGCTACGGCCGATGAACCTATTGCTGGTACCTCAAAGGAGGCCATTGTCACCCAGTGGCCAAAGCGACCGCTTGCCTCTGGTGCTGAACCTGTGGTGAAATGTCCTCGCTTGGACACCAATACCGAGTTGGACGAGGCATGCGCTGAGTCCGCTCGACTCCACGCTGAGAACGCCGAGCTCCGCACTCGGAACAACAAGTATCAGGTCGCTCTGACCGAGATGTGACAACACTCCCAGACTCAAGAGTCCGAGTTACTCCACATGAGCAACTGGCTGTACCTTTTGGCGCGCAATTGGGGAACTTGGGAGAAGGAGCTTTGCGAAGTCCTAGAGGAGTAGACAGTCCCTTTAGAATACTTTAGATTTAGAATCGCCTGCTAGCGCCAAAGAGCACTTTGTACTATAGAGTCTCTGATTTCTCCGGCGCCTGGCACGCCTAATATGATAGTGCTTTGCGTCCCGTCCATGTCTGTGTCCAATTCCATTGTCCGATTCGATTCGCTGGCCTGATTGAGTAAGAGGAATACGCGAGTGAGTGCATGTAAGAGATATAGAGTTATGAGAAAATACGGCGGTCGCGCAAGCTGCGTGCTTGTCTTGTCTTCTTCGGGCGTCCTTTCGCATCTATTCCTTCGCATGTCCCTGTGTGTCGCTGATATTAGATGGTGTCAGTGTATAGTCTATGAGTAAAAAGGGGCGTGGTGTGGCTGCGCGCATTAGAAATGGAAGGTCTATGGGGTAGTCATGCGCGCGCTTCTAGGTAACGTATCTTCAGTATGTACTTTGACGGTTTATTATCACCTGATCGGCGGTTATAGAATAGAGTCTGTTGGATGTATGTTCAATGCAATGCGCGTGTTATGAGACATGATAAAAAGAAACTGAGGTCGCCAGCCAAAACCCAGGGTAAAACAGAGGAAATGGAAATTGACGGTATGTTTTTGTGATTGTTTTGTTGTTATATATTGTTTTTGTTTTTGTGAGCGATGCGGAAAGCGGGAGTGTGCGGTTAAGGGTGTCGGCGATATGTAGGAAGTGGTCGCGTGCTACGCGTCGGGCATGCGCTCTGGTTTGTCTTCATCGGGTTCTTCAATATCCTCGTCAGCTAAATGATCAAGAGTCTCATCGTCTTTACCAGTGACGCTTGTCACCATAATGCGCTCATCGCTGCACGGATGATAAGGGATGACGCAGAACACTGTGTAGCGTAATTTAGAGATAGCGCCGTCCAACTTGGCCAGCAGATATGAGCCTCCTTTTGTGCAGCGCACTACAATCATAGGTCCCAAGTATCGTAACTTCGTCTTCTTGCTTAACTTGTATTCAACCTTCAAATTGCGCACCAGTACTAAGGTACCGGGCGCATGGTTGTAATCGTGGATCGTCGCGCAAAAGCGCTTCTCGAAATTGCGGATAGACGTGTAACACGCTTTCATTACCTTGTCCCTGATAGCACTGAGATCCTCTATACGCTTCTGTAACTGCCGTGCGTGCCACGCAATAAGTTCTGCGGTGGTAAATGGTGCGCGCGCTGGCATCGGTGCTAAGAACATAGCTTCTGCAAGGTCAAAAGGGAAGATCGGCTCAACGCCGTGCACCATGAAATAAGGCGATAAGCCCGTTGACTTGTGCACGGTCCCTCCTGTGCCTTGGTGCATGTGCAGCTCATCCTTCAGATGCATTACTGTACCAGAGCAAGCTATGGGTAGCAGGCAACATTCGATCCGCTATGCTGGCTTCTATCAGGACTAGGTAAGCCACCGTATGATAACTCAAATCAGTCGCATCGTGCTCAGGTTTAGTTGGGAACAAGGAACCGCGGCGGGAGCCATACTCGAATTCAATAACCCAGAGTACTCTGTCTTTGGATCTTCCCCATTTGTTTCCGATGGAAATTTCCCCCTTTCAACTCTGCAGCTTGCTTATAGCGCTGCTGTACGGCAAAGTCCCGACGGTCGCCTCAGCCAAGAAATCGGTGATGCACTCGATGCCGCTGCGTTAGATGGCGCCTCCGCTGGCTCTGCGGTTCTTCTGGGTGAATACCACTTTGTTGTGCCGGAATTTTCAATTTTTCAACTACCGAAACAGGCAGTTTGACTGACCCATCTCGGTACAACTATTGGCTGGACGCGGCTAACGCCCAACTGAATTTTGTGTGTTCTGCAGTTACTTCCAGCTCCTCGAACTGACAGGCGTCTGCTAGTTACTCAACGTAGCTCCTCGTACCTCTACTGGAGCTATTTCCCATCGTGTTGACTCACGTCAATATTGGTTCGACATTTGCTATCTAGGATATGTTTTAAAATACTCAACGTGACCAAATAGGGCTGATGGCGTCTACATGGGGTTCCCCTTTATTGCATACTTTGGGGCAGTTACCAACAATGCAACTCTCCTTCAGATTGCATACGATCAATGTCGGTTGTACCGTGATGCTCTTATTCTAGACGGTCCCACTGGAAAACTCTGGGGACATATTTACTCCGACGATAATAAAACGTGGATAGATGAAGGTATTTGGGGAACTGGTGAGTACTCCCGTGGTTCGAATTTCGCATGAGCGCAATAAGCAACTTACAATCGCGCGAAACTTACGCAGGTAATGCATGGGCAGCGCTTGGCATGCTACGCGTTGCTGTGACGATTCAAAAGACTGAGCACTCTTCAGATATGGCTTCTCAGATCGCTTGTCTTACCTCATGGATCAAGGAAATTCTGGACGGCGAGTTTGCTGCCTTGGTAGGGACGAACCTTCCTGACCCCTTCGTGACTAACATCATTTTCTCGACAGACATCAGACAATCTGGTCCCGAACTATATCATCGGGGGTCCGTCTTTTCCTGATGCAGCCTCCACCATTGCCCTAGCCTCTGTAGCGTATCGGGTTGCATATATCTTCCCTCAGCAATTCGGCAAGCACTACACGCATGTGGCTGCGAAAATACGAGACACTGTTATATGCAATATCACGAACCTCGGTACCTTGCAGCCCATAGTGGATCCTTTACCAGATCCCTTTCCATATTGGAATCAAACAGGACTGCTGAGTACAGAGGCACAAGCATTTGGATTGATGATGTTTTCAGCATGGAGAGACTGGATTGGCGCCTGAAGGTGCCTGCAAATTCTTTTGTTTTCGGACTATCTCTGCGTGTACATAAAACAACCAAATCGTGTAAACAGACTGCCCAACAGACGATCACGAGGTATATTTGACATCCGCAGTGTTGGATATCTTCTTTATCTGATGATGAGACACTTCAAAAATTCAACATTCAGGAAGCGGACGAGATGGATACAACAGCAAGTCGCAAGATTCAGGTAAACAAGGTATATGGTCTATTACATGTATGTGGCACTGCAGGTCACTTGCCAGATAGTTTGATATGATTGTAAGGTTCATTAAGATCTGAAACACGGGGGCGCTTTTGCACGCTTCTAGTACGTACCTGTACTAGCTTCAACAAGATAGGATGGTGCTTAATCCGTTCAACTATGATGTAACACGCGCACGCATTTATCATAAATTTATGTCGCACAAAAAGAACCAGGGAAAGGTCGAAGGAATTCGGCAAGTAGTTGAGCCCGCTGTCGAGGCCAGGGAGCTCGTACGTTACGGTGCCGTGCGCAAACACCCGGAAATCGCACTAATTTTAATTCATCACATCTCAGCAAAGGTGTATACATACATATCCCTTTGTGCGGGTGTTGAGTGTCTGTATCATAACAAGTCAAGCGCCATAAGATATCATGTATAATCATAAACGGAAGATCAAGGCAGAGTGAGGGACCGACACGCCGCATCACTAGGGCGAGTGTCGTACATAAATGACTAAAAGGATACAGGGTACAACATGATATAGCTTCTATCCACATACACGGAACGTAGTCCAAACAAGGACCCTTCACGAAGAAGGGAAGGAGCAAAAAATTATGCGGTAATCCTCAACAGGCCCGAGGGCTCCAGTTGAAGATAACAGACCCTGGCATAAACCATGGGATCTGCCCCGCATCGACGGAAATAACCGTCATATAAAGTCAAGGCAGCAAGCCCCTGTGAAATCCTATCGTGAGCGTCAAGATACGGTATAGATCCATAGCAACTTACGACTATGAATAGCCATGAAGAGCTTCAACAGACACGTGTAGATTTTGGACAACCAGTTCCGTGGAACGGTAATGACACTCTTCCCAGCGGAAGGACGAATTTTTCACAAATTCCGCCACCGAAACCAAATTCGGCAGGATATATTTTCAACGGGCTTCCACTTCGCTGCGTGCGTACACACAGAGGCCCACATAAACCCGAAATAACTCGAGGTGTAGTGAGTCCGACTCGAAGCTAGCCTCGCTGGATCGATAGGGTGCAGCTGCAGCCTGACATCATGACAGAGGTTGATATGGCAACGGGTCTGTGAATTATATGTCATAGGTTCATGTTCCAGTTAGGGCCATGTCCTGGTAATATTCAAAAGCCCAGGGAGACTTGAGTCATGCCGCGCCAAGCACGGAAGCACCGATAGATTCCAAGGTCGTCCTCGTATGCTTTGTCCATGACTTGCCCCGTGAGCAACGCATCGTGTATGTCTGCGTGGTTTCATGGTATGATTGCGTGGTATGCGCAATTCAACGCGGCTATCGTGGACTGGTCAACAATATGACTGCGTGGTATATGCGTTTCTGTGCGGGAAGCACTGGTCTGGTCAACAATGACTGCACGGTATGTGCGTTTTCTATGCGAGTAAGCACTGATCTGGCCAACGGTATGACTGCGTGGGATGCGCGTTTCAGTGCGAGTAGGCACGAATCTGGTCAAAAATGAGTGCACGGTATGCGTTTGTCAAATGCTTTCTAGTTTGGCGAGTCAAGGAGGGCAATGCCGCACGTAAACGCACGGATGCACCGATAGACCACGCCCGATGTATCGAAGCGTAGTCCTCGTATGCACGATACAAAGCCACTTGGCCCTGGTATCATTGTCATAGTAACAATTGGTCAAGGTTCTGTGTCTGTCAAGTTTGTGATAGCCATCGACATGGGGTCAAGTATCGTGAAATATCGCTTTGGCGCTTTGACATAGTCCTGCACAATGAGTGAAACGGCAAAGTATTGCCGGGAGGCTATTTGCCTATCTGGATCTCTGCCTCGCTGCGAAATACGGATTCACAGAGGAAGCCGATAAGAGGGCTTACTTGCCACTCCCTCGTGCTTCCGACTCGAGGCTGATCATGGAACACGAGCGGAAGACCTGGGCGTAGTAGAGGGTACACATCATGAAAGGGAAAAAAGAGAAATGATAGCAAAGAAGATTGGAATCCCGATTATGACAACAGCGGAAGTTACCGGTTTTGAAATTTAGTTTACGTAAGATAAGTGGTAAAAGTATAACCGTCGTGACAGAGGTCACCGGTCACATGTTATCGTAGTTATCTGTTATCGTAGGTTACAATTGGTTATTGCATTAGCCCTGCCTTGATGCTTGTGGAGGCTCCTGCAGTATAGTACTACTAGTAGTGACATTATGAAGTCTAAATTATGTTGAGCGGTCATTGTGGCAGCCGGCTCCGGCGATGTTATATCTTCGTCTCAAGTATTTGCTGAACGCCGAACAAGTCATAATATTCAGTCAAACACCAATAGACTGATGTTCCTTCGCAAGGACAAACTGATATCTGAAACCCAAATCGTCGGTACAGCATCGAATTTACAAGACTGTCGTACATAGTATACATGGACATTGTAAATATATGATATGAGCATGAGATATATATTCGAACACATAATCTTCAAGCTTAGGCAGCCGGTGAATAGACAGCGGATGGTGATGTATAACGAAACTCTAATAAAAAAAACCTGTATCAAGCATTGGTCATTATACCCATGCTCGACGCTTACTTGGTGTGGGTGCAGTAGCAGTGCTCGGTGGAGTGAAAAACCCGCCAGCAGTGATTCCCATTGCTTCCACCCCCGATCCACTAGCCTTGCGAAGTGCCCCACGACCAATGGATATCGAACCTTTCCCAGAACCCAACACACTCCCCACACGCTCTATGCTGATTGTCGAACGCGTTGGACTTCGATGGGAGTGCCCTGCACCATTGTGACTCTCGTCACTAAGAGAGCTTACGCCGTTTTCATTGCCCCCGCCTCCATTTCCGGCCCCACGTGCAAGAAACTTTCGTCGCCTGGTTTGGTATGGGAAGACATTTGCATTTGGTTCTGCATCTGCACCGCCACCGCTCCATGCGCTGGAGAGAGTCTCGTTCGTGGAAGCAGTTCCCGACCCACTGGGCCCAATCGGCATGACCAACATCGCATCATCAATGTCTTCGTCATCGCTCCGTAAACTCAATGGCCGGGCCTGCTTGAGCTGTGAGCCTGATGGACCCTCCAATGATGGAGGAGAAGGTGACCTTCGAATGGACGGGGGCACTGCCTCCGCGCGATCATGGACTTCGTCAAATATTTCATAATAGCGCTGGATGCAGAGCTTGACGATAGACCCCAAGGTAGTATCGCTATTTGAAGTCTCAGTGGAGGATGTTGATGCCGCCTGTGTGGCCGTTGCGAATGTACTGGTCATCGATGGTCCGCTTGGTATAGAACATAGGAGTACATCTTGCATCGGGTCCGAGCTTTTGACTAGGTTGGGACAAATGACAATAGCAAGATTGTGTGCGTCCATGCGATTTATATTTGATCGTAGAGATACTTCGTGCAGCACGTCTGAATCAGCGTTAGGCACAGGTCTTCTGACATACCAAAGAAATGCATAGCTCACAAAATATGTTACTCAGTAAGATGTACATGCATGGCATCAGCTGTGGCAGGAGTGTGTCGCGAATATATGCCATAGCAAGGATGCTGTTTGAGTCATTCGATGGTGTTGGACATCGACGTATATCAGGATACAGAGAATCTGGGAATGGGGAGCTGGGAAGGTCGCGGAGATACTTCTTCAATAGCACAGCTGCGAGATGGGGGTCATTAAAGCTTTGGAGGGAAACAACTTGGCCTGGTGAAGTGTCACAATATGCGATTCAGTGTCGACGTAGAAAAATACCTCTGTCGTATGCTTCTTGAACCTGTTTGAGTAATACGGAACTCGGCGAGCGCCTGAAAATCCCTTCCTCGTTTAGCCCTATATATGTTTGATGAGTTTAAGTAAAATAACAGTCATCCTCGATACTCACCAGAGTTCAAAAGGTCTTGGATGGCATCTTTCAGAACCCGCGGAATGCTACCCTTTTCGCCGTCGTGACCCATGAGTTCTTCTAAGGGCACACCAAAGACGCTAGAGGAAATGGGACTCGGTAATACAATATGCCTCTCTTGTTTCAGATTCTCTCTATATATGTGTTATCAGAAGTGTTGAACAGGTTAAAGTGTACTTACTTGTACACCGCAGGTGGAATGTCAATTTGAGTCAGTGGAACCTGGGTAGCAAGATCCGACAGAGTGTCGACGTAGGCTATTTTGCGAAAGAACTTGGGGCTGCGGAAATGTTCAGCGCAATTGAAAACCATGACAGCGAAACCTGTAAGACCTGACGACAGCACCTGCCAAGGAGAAAAGCACTGCGGAAAGCAGGTAAAAGGACTGCGCGACCGAATGCATAATTTCACCTACTTTTTGAGAAGAGAGAAGAGTGTACAATGAGCTGCGCTGAACATTCAGTTGCTTGCATCGTGAGTAAGTGAAGTATCACTGACCAGGCGTTTCAAGTTCTTGCGGTACTTCCTACTCAGGCTTCGATATGCCTTCCAAACCCAGTTCCAGTGAGGAGCGTAGCGATTGCCTGCTGCAAAGAATACTACGGTGTAATCGGATTCAACTGGAGATAACGAGGTGAGTCTAATGAGACCGGTAGATAGTTATAGCACTGAAGGTGGACGAACCAAAGAGATCAAGGTATGACAGAATTCGCCTGATACGGGATGAGGATGATAACTGGTTGCGATTTGCACAGACACGTACTGCAAAAGCAGATCATAGGAGACCTCTTGTGGATCTGGTAATGCCGATGCACTAATAATGACCCTATAGTCCGAATTAGCCGACAATTAGAGCGTGCTAGTATCCGTCACCAAGGCCCAGGAGAACTTACATAGG